ATGGAGCACTGGGTGTTATACGCAAACAATGAATCATGGAACACTACATCAAAAACTAATGATGTAATGTATGGTGATTAACATAACAATATAAATTTTAAAAAGAAAGAGTAATGGAGAGGCATGTGGGCAATCTCAGATTCTTGCATTGAAAGGGAAATCTTCTTTGGTTTGGGGGTCTGGGGATGATGGCACAAAAAAATCATTTTTTGCACCTAGTGGGATTTTTTTCATTAGGGTCCCCTTTCCTGAGCCCCTAAATTCCCACAGGAGTGGTCCGAAATGCCTGAGGTTATTTTCTAGGTTCTCCCGACCTGAGAGAGAGCTCTGCTCACAGCATGTGGCACTTGGTGGAACCTTCAAGACAAAGGTGGCTATGGGCACAAAAGCAGTTTTGCAATCCAGGCCTAGCTGAGCATGTAAGACTTCAAATAGATGTGGGTCTTGAACAACAGAGCCAGTCATAGGGAACTGAGAAGAGACTGTAACTTCCCTAGGGAGTGGTACAGACACTCCCTCCATTTATACCATTAGAATTCTGAGCATAGGACAAGACCAGGAGAGGTTCGATGGACGTCTCCTGCATCTCTAGATGGCCCTGCTACCTCTAGAGCTATCTCTGCAGGTGGTGGCAGGTACAATGCCAGTGTGAGGTGTTCTGCGATCCAGCACTGGGTTCCCCAACAGCTAACTGAACCACCAGCCCTCTAAGTAAGGCTGCCTTCCTAGACTCCTCTTCAGTCCACACTAGATCATCTCCTGGCTCCCCCACAAACCCTTGCACCTGGTCGTGTCCCCGGATCTCACTCTGAACTTGGCCGCTCACGCTGCCTGCTTCTATCTCTGTGTGTCCCTGATAGTATAGAGCGGGTAACACCATCCAAGGGCACTGGGATTCTCTCCCAGACAAGCCCTTTCCCAGCTCTAACAGACCGCACAATCCGAACGGGCCACACAACAAGACTGAGTTGTTAGAACCATTGAAGTCCTAGGCTCCAGCAGTTGCCAGGCCACAGTAACCACAAAGCTTTGCTCTGAAGTTTGGGAGAAACACACCTTTCATTTGGATATCTCCACATCAACCTCAAAATAGTGAATGCAAATGACATTAAAAGACTGGCCAAAAAAAGAGAGAGAGAGAGAGAAGAAAAACATCTAAACAGAGATCTGTGTAGGAAGAAATTGGTCTATTATTTAACTAATAGGAAAATTCTGCACTAACATACCCACATGGAATCCCAAAGTGATCACGGAAAATGAGCATGAGCATGAAGCCAGGCGTTTCTGGCTTTCTGAGCCACTTGATTTGGGGGATTATTCCTTACCGTCCTGCCGTGCCTTCAAAGGCGTACTCCCAGCCATCCAGAGTGCGGCAGTAGGGACCCTGAACGAGGCCCAGAGCAGATATGACCAGGCAGTATCCAGAGAAAGCAATTCCAAGGGCAGAAAAGATCATCGACAGCAGTGTCTAAATTAAACATAGAAGAAGGAGGTCAGGAAAAAAAAAAAAAGAGAAAGGAGGAGGAGGAGGAGAAGGTGGAGGAGGTCAGTGCCATAGAATGAGACAAGGGGATATTGTGGATAAATGTTCAGATAGGTACCTTCCCCTACTCACCCAAATCTACTGCATGCAGTCTGTGTAAATGCCCACAGAAAAACAGAAACATTTAATCCAAACCCACCTGATCTTTAAAATAAGTTTTTAAAATGACTTTTTGTTTGGGATTCCACAGAGGATCCTAGTTAATTTACTACATTTCTTCCTTTCTTCTGGAATTTCAATATCAAAATAATGATCATACATTAATGCAGTGAAAGGGTGTGACCGATCAATCTATAGTTACTAAAGACATTATTTTCTAGGTTGGGTGGGTTCTCTAAGAATCAGAAGCTAGGACCTTGGCTTTTCTCCTGTGAAGATGATATGTGAATACCTTCACTCACAGGAATATGAGGGGAAATATCAGGTGTTAGCCTACATGACATATTTATGTTCAAGTGAGGATAAGATTAATGGGGAAGAGGGTGTTTTCCTTGGAGTAGAGAGAACGAGCAGTGTTCACAGGCAGATCGGTACAAGCAGAGTTGTAAAGGTAAATAGATTAGTGTGATCTAAGACAGGGTTTCTACCAAGCGTTAGAGAGTTTATGAAGGCCAGATTGACATGTTTGCTAATGTTGGGGAAATGGAGCTGTTGGACACAACCCAGCCCTCAGAGTTGCTTACAAAGTGAGTGCAACTTGGTATATGCAGGCAGAAGGTGACTTTGAATGCTGGATCAAGGAGGGTGGACTTCATCCTTCAGGGCAAGTAGCTTTTCCCCCCATACCTTTCACTAAATTTTTTTTTCAAATCTACCAAAAAGTTGAACATATAGTATAGTATACTAGAGTCAATGCATCTTTGTATACTCTTTGTCTAGACTCATCTTCTGTGAATATTTTATCATTTTTGCTTGCTCTCTCTCTGTATGTATATGTATATATCCATGCACATGTATGTATTTATTTACACATTTCTGTTCCCAAACCACTTAAAAGTAGGTTGTAGATACTGTGATATCTCACTCCTAAACCCATCAGCACATATCTCCCCAAAATAAAGATATTCTATTATTCTGCAACTGTGTTTTACTTTTTTGTACAGAATCCAATGAGAGTTTATGCACAGGGTTACATCTCTTTAGTTTCCTTTGATCTACATTACTCTTACTGCCTTTTTGTTTTTTAGAATATTAAATTGTTTTTGAACAATCCCAGCCAGTTGTCTTATAGAATGTCCCCCACAATCTGGGCTATTCTGATTTTTAACTCACAACTAGACTTGGGTTAAACATTTTGGCAAGAACACCTGATGGGCATGAATACCTTAGGGACCTCTCACTGCTATTGGTGATGCCTTTGACCTCTTCGTTAAGGTGGTGTCCTTCAGGTCTATAAACATACATTTTCCACTTTGCAATTAGTAAATAATTGGTGAGGTAATACTTTGAGACTGTGTAATATCCTATCCCCCAAAGACATTTCCACTGATGGATTTACCATCCACTGATGATCCTCATATCCATTGATCACTAATGATCACAATGACTGGTTGCAGGGTGCTGTTCCTCTCATGCTATCATTTCTTCTGCATTTATAGCTTATTACTTTTCTGCACAGAAAAACTTCCATTTCCCATCTCTCTCTTTCTCTATTATTGTGTACACATGGATTTTCTAATTCAGTGTGTTATCATTCATAACTGTTATTATTCTTTTAGATGCTCATTTGGTCCAAATATGGCCAGTGAGAACATCCTGTCAAGTCAATTCCTGTGCCCTTTGAGATATCCCTGTCATTCCTTGAACACCTCCTTGCTTCCTGGCACAAAATGTACCAAGCTCATTTTGAATTTATAAATAACCAGAATAGCTCTTTTTCCAACAAGCCATGTACGTGGTTTTTGAGTAAGGAAGTGACATGAACCAATATATAATTTTGAAAGATGGCTCTGTGGCGATGGCATGCCAACCAGAAGTGAGAGAGCCCAAAACAAGGATTCCATGTCAAGACAGTTTCAACTTGCGGTGACAAAGACATGCCCTGGAGGAAAAGGAAAAGACGTTGGGGAGGAAATAAGTAGCTAGAGATGGACCCAAAAAAAAAAAATTCTGGAATGAAAAGGACAGAAATAGGGATGCCAAAAAGGGTAGTTTGGTTTGGGAGACAACTTAATCTGGTTTTAGAAATGTTCCTTTCAAGTTGAGAGTAGAACAGCCAAGTTAGTTGATGATAAATTCAAAACTTGAGACCAGAAAAACTGAGAACAACAAACCTGTGATTTGGGGAACAAAAGTGATCTCACATTATATACATCTCAAATAATTTAACATTATTTTACTGATTATCACATTAATACATGCTCATTATGGGAAATCAGGAAAAAATGTATTTAAAAACCCAAAGAAGAAAAGAACAATTCTGCTTTTTTCCTATTTGATATTATTTCATTGGCATCTTCACATTGATTAAAAGATCATTCAAATTATATTTCTCATATTGATTTTAATAGAATGTTGGCCCATCATGGGATGAGACAAGCTACTTTTTTTTTTTAACAGGTTACTGACCGTTACACTTTACAAAGAAAATTTACCTATTCACCAATGCCATCTTCCAAAAAGGAAGAAGGATGTTTTGAAAAGAGAGAGCTCCTTGTTTACCAAATACGCTCTTAAGCAGTTCACTGGAAAGATCAACGAAGAATTTCTTCATTTGGTGAAACTGGCAACCATAGCATAGGACATATATTTGTATATATATATATACAAATCACAGTCTAATGAGTAGATACCATTGCACAATTGAGCCTCGAAATAAAGCAGGAATAAGAATCTCTCTGAGTCAGTTTCATTTTCTATAAACTGTAAATGATGTAGATGATTATAGTACCTATATAACAGGGATGTTTCAAAATTAAAGAACACAATGGATATAAAAATTATTTCAAAAGTGTAAATATAATCACAATTTTTATCTATTATTCCAAGCACCTCTATTTGGCAGATAGTTGTTTTCCAGGGTTAACAACACACAGGATTTTGGCAGAAAACGAGACTCCACAGAAGAATGAACAGCAAACAAGAAGTTAATGGAGTTCAGGTCACCCCCAAAATATGGCACCTTAGCAGACTGAATATTTTAGACTGAAGGAGTTTGAGAAAATGGCAGAAACAGGATGGTCACTCCGACCCGTCCCAGCCCCTTCACCCTTCTTCTCTGAAACAGGTCATAAAACTCCCACGTGCAAGTTACCCTCTCTGTACAAGGAGGAAAAGGAAGACATTTTTATCAGCAGAGACAGGGAATTTGGGGCCAAGAAACCTATGTAAACAAACCTCATTAAACTCAACCTTATCTTCCTGGTTACTTCTTCACCATTTACTACCCCCAGCCCAAACCCCCACACTTGCCAATTCTTTAATTGCTGTTTCTTGCTACTCTGGTCACTCCTTTAGGTCTTCATTCTCTTGTGAAGGCTCCCATGTATACATAAAATTCAATAAAATGTGTACCCCTTTCTCTTGCTAATCTGTTTTTGTCAGTTTAATTTTCAGATTGAGTGCCAGGGACCCTAAGAGGGTTGAATAAAACTTTTTTTCCGCTACAGTATCCATCCAACAGGGGGCACCATTGGCTGGGGACCCCTTGCTTGGTCCCGGAGCTATGGTTAGAGATCCTGGATCTGTGACAAAAGCCACAGAAGAATTCTTGCCATGTCAGTTTCTTGGATCTCTGCCTGTGGGGGACTGGTCCAGGGTAGGTGGTAAGAGTCTTTTCCTTTTCAGATTCAGATTGGCAGGGGAAAACATTTATAAAAATTAGTTCTTTGGATTGTGACTCTGGTTAAAATTTGGTTTCGAGTTATCCATTGGTTATTGATCCTTTCCCTCCCATGGACAGCTAATCAATTTCCTGTTTGTCTCTTATTTGTGTCCTGAGAAATTGGCTTGGCTTTCTGCCTGTCAGGGCATGCAAGTGTCAGTTCTTGGAGGCAGCCAATTGTCAAGTTGTGGGCCCCCAAAAATCTGCCATACAGAAATTTGGGCTGCACCCCACTGTGGCTAGCATCCTACCAATTGTCGCCAGCTTTCAGGAGGAGTTGCCTAAGTCTTTCTTTTGCTACCTTTGAGAGTGATTTTGCTATCTTGGGAGGGCTGCATCTTTTGTACCCTCCTTGGGGACATCTCTTGCATCCATGGTTAAGTTTTGGTTTTGGTTTCAAGTCATTTGGTTTAAATATTTGAAACGATTTTTTTAAGGGGCTGTATGGTCAGAAGTTGGCCAAATTGAAGGTTGATATTCAGACCCTGATAGAAATTTTTTTTTTGATTAGTCTCTGTATTTAGGAATACTTGATTTATATGAGCATTCATTTATCTCTATGCCAATTAGAATAAAACTCTTTTGAGAGATTTTATAAATTATTTTGGTAATACCATCTGGAGGTAGAAAAATATCACACATCTGTAACAGACATATACAGACATAAATAAACATATAGAAAGACACAGAGATCTTACGGCCTTTGTTTTTAAATTTTAGCCACGTATCAGGTACGTTGATACAAAACTCACCAGTTTATAAAAGAGTCCAAATTGTGTTTCTGGCTGATGGAACAAGTTATGGCTACCCATTTGGATGGCTAAAGTTTTTTACTAATAGTTGTGGAGAAGAGTGTTAAGATTTTTATCTGCCCTTGACAAGTAATCTTATGAAGGCTGTGGACTAGATTTTGGCAAGGGAGTTTTTAGAGTAGTTGGTTTTTTAATTTTTTTAATTTTTATTTTTTATTTATTTTTTTGACAGGGAGAGACATAGCGAGAGCAGGAACACAAGCAGGGGAGTGGGAGAGGGAGAAGCAGGCTTCCCGCAGAGCAGGGAGCCCGATGTGGGACTCGATCCCAGGACCCTGGGATCATGACCTGAGCCGAAGGCAGACGCTTAACGACTGAGCCACCCAGGCGCCCCAGCAGTTGGTTTTTTTTAAAATGTATGCTTTAGAAATTATGGAAATAGCATATTCATGAATTTGCCAATCAACAGGATGTTGATATCTGTAACACTCCACAATTGCTTACTTCCTGGTTTTCACTAGAAATTTAAGTTTCTAAGAGTTAAGAATTCTAATATATGGAATTAAAACTGCTAAAAAAAAAAAGAAAGTAAAACTACTGGAAATAAGAAGAGAACAACTGTGTGTACAAGAAAAAAAGTAGGTGTTTTGGTAAAAAAAAAAAAGTATGAGTTACAGAGATGTGTTTTTGTTGAGGGAAAAAGAAACTTTTGGGGAAAACTTTTTCTCCTCTGTCAAGTGAATCAATTTCCATTGCAGAGCTTCAGCAGTTCCAAACCTGGGCAGACTCACAGTTAGCCTTCAAGATGTGCTTTATTTAATTTAAATGAGAATTAATTGCCACCATGCTGTAATTGAGAAGTTGTACATAAAGCTCCATATTTCTACTTTCTACTGAAAACTGAGAAACACTGCCCAGTTTTATCATGATAACAATCGGCTGGACTTGAGGAGCAGCTCCCTCTCTCCCTTAAACAGAGACTTGCTCTAATGCCTACCAGGCTCAGTTCTTTCATTTCCATCAGGTAGTTGCTCCTGGGGGCATATAAACTGGGAACCCTATTCTAAAGCCCTACCTTGAAAGAACCAAGCAGGGAATTCAGAGAATCCCCTCTCCCTTCCTCCTGCTTTTCCCTTTGAGATACCAGTCATCTCATTCAATTTGATTATCAGACCCTGTCCAGACTCCACACTGTCTACAGCATCCATTTGTGCTGGAGATGGTAATAGTCAAGGCAAATTGAACACATTTATTTTTATTATGAACCTAATGGCACATACGTTTGTTTTCTAGAGATTCCCTGAGTATCATAGGTTAATGTTTACCTGAATCTATTGCTTCAACTAGGCAATTTTGAAAGCTTTTCCATAAGTGTAATACCAGCAGCTACTGGGGAATGTCTGAGGTGGTTGGTTGGTTAAGAAAATACATACACCCACAAAGCACATGCACATGCACATGCACGTGCACAGAGTGTCTTTCAATTCTTCAAATCTTCTCCTCCAGAAGCTCAGTTCTAAATTTAGCAGCTAATTTAGTCTTCCAACACATCTGTCAAAGAAAGCTGGACATGTCATCTTGGCTGCGCATTAAAATCTGGTTGCCCCTCGGACCAGCCAGCTCAGGATGTCTGCGGGTGGGATTCCAACTCCAAGCTCTCAGATGATTACAACGGGCAGCCACAGTGGGCAGCCACTGCTGCAAGATATGCCTACCAGGCCTCCAGGAAAGTCCTTTTGGTTAATACATAACACGTTCTCTCTGAGCCACAGGTAATTCATATAAGTATGAATAACAATGATCTAACTCACTGGGTAAGTGTGAAAAAAACTATCAAGTGCTATGCAAATATGATTAAAAGATGATGACCCTGAGGAGAAGGATAATGATGGAAATGTAGGAGCCTAGCACCTGCCTGCTGAGCACAGGCTTAGAAAATTTGGTTGTATTATTCTCTCTTGATTCTATTTAAATTATTTTTAAAATCCCAGTTTAAAAAAATGTACATCACGTATACCCAACACATGGATAAATCTAATCATTATGCTGAATGACAGAAGCCAGATACAGAAGAAAAATTCTGCATGATTCTATTCACATAGACTACAAGCTAATCTACAGTGACATAAAGCAGATCAAAGATTAATCTTTCAGGGGTAATAGAAATGTTCTGTGTCTTGATTGTGATGGTTGCTTGGGTGTATTTGGCTGTCAAAACTCATGGAATTGTACAATTTTAATGGATGCCGTCTATTGAATGTAAATCAGTCCTCAATAAAGTTGAAAAGGGAAAAAAAATAAACTCACAGAAACCCAGTTAGGAAAAGGTAATATTATTTTCTAATTTCATGTATCTTTAAATCCTGAACTTCTGGAAGAACATCAGCAAGACAAAGGTGGAGGAAAGACAGTAAACAAAATGGAAGTTTGTTTGTTTGTTTGTTTGTTTTTGAGTAAGCTCTTGGGCTCTGAGTTGAAAAGATCATGGAGAAGGGACAATAGTGTCAATATTTTCATGTTTCATGAGTGAGAGGAAAGAGAGCCAGAGCCCATTCAGCCATCCTCAAAGTACTATTGCTCTTACCCTGTATTTTTTGCTGCAGTTTTCACTCTGGCAACATTTATAGTTGCTATCATTCTCCAATACAAGAAGAACTGCTGCTACTATAAGCATCTGTAGTAGGGAAGAGAGGAAATATCAGAAATGAAATACTAGTCATAATCAGAGCACAGTGATTCAGAGCAGAGACTCTGGGGTCAAGTGGACCTGGGTTCGAATCCCAGTGCTGCCATTTTCTAGCTGTGTGAGCTTGAGAGTCCTTCCCTATAAAATGGTGTTGGGAAAGCATCTCATTGGGTTGTTAGGAGGTCATGTATGCAAAATTTTGAACACAGTGCTTGGTTTATAGTAAGTGATTGATAAATGTTAGCTATTATTGGCATGGCATCAAAAGCTAATCATTAAGCAGTAAATGGTATGGACATGGGAATACCACCCCACACAGCAAACCTGCATTTCTCACTGACTCAGTTGCAGAGGTCAGAGGAAAATCATCCACCAGACTTTTCTGTTTGCCAGCCTCTCTCCATTTACTGCCCTCTGGGAATGCAGGTGAGAGGCATGGTTAATCTGAAACTACATGTCTTAATTCAAAGTAAAGTCAGTTTGATTTGCCCAAGCACTCAGATCATCTCAGGTTCAAATTTTCAAGCGTCCTTTGTCTCTATCAAGCCGACAGACTGGGAGAATTCAATGTATTCTACTTTCTTTTCTTGGTATCCTAAGCAAAGGGCTCAAGTTCTGAAAAGAACGTGGATTTCTTTACTGTTATAGTTCCCAGTCTGGGCAGGTATGGACCGTGAATTGCTTCTGACAAATTCTCCACCTATCCTTTACTCCCAATGCTCAGGACTGAATCTTGAAGCTGAGTTCCATTGTTATTTTACTATGTGTAGTCAACATTTCCAGTTTCCAAGTTCGTCAGCTTTTGTCTGTCTACTTATTTATTTATCTACATCCCTCTTCTTTCTCTTAAAAAGATTTGACGCAGTAACAATCATGTTTTTCAAGAATTCCTTGACAATGGAAAATAGAGAACTGGTTCTTTTCTAACTTTTAAATTTTACACAGAATATAAGCCAAAGAGTCTTATATTCTCCTCCTTTCAACACCATTAGTTATCGCAGATTTTAATAGATTCTGGTTTAATCTTATCAATGCCTTGCAACCCTTCTATTGACTACGGTGACATATTAAGGGAAACAATGACGAGATAAAGCACAGTACAACAGGTACAGTAACTGGCTTCATTACAATATTAGTAGAAACAATTAGACCTAGACCCTGGAGTCCTGTGTCCTAAGAGAAACACAGGCATCGCTCGTGTTGAAAGAGAAACTGCTTTTTTTTTCATTGTAAAATTATAACTGGAATACAGGGCTCAAGCATAATGGAGGAACATTACCCCAAATCCCGCACCCTCACATGTTTTTATGTATTTACTCCTAGTATATTACCACATGTGTATATTTTGCATAGTTGTAATCGTAACTTATTCACAATTTTTGTATCTTTTCTTTTTTTCTTAACACAAAATAATATGCATTTTCCATGTTACTACATCTTCATAATTATCATTTTCATCACCATAGAAAGTGAATGTACCACAATTTATGTGGCCAATTCTATGCTAGGGGGCTCCTACTAATTACTTACTATTATGAATAATGCTGCCATATATATCTATGTATGCATCTCTTTCCTTATTATGAATTAGTTGCTCAGAATTTATTCTCAGGTTTAGGATTACTGAGTCAAAAGACATAAGCATTTTCATGGATCTTAATATAGCCTATCAAAATCTTCTCCAAAAGGTTTGCATTCACTTATAGTGCAATAACCAAACATTCATTATGTACCTACCTATCACATAGCAACTTCGATAGCATTGGATATCAATACTTTAAAGTTGACTAACTTCATATGCAAAATAGTAACTAAATGAAAACTGTTTTCATCATAGTTATTCAAATATTATAATAATTAAGCACCCATGAAGATGTAGCGATAAATTATAACGCGTTTTCTTTTGTGTCATTGGTGGTATAGTAAGCTTGTACTGCACAACGTGCTGTTTTTAGAAATGATATGATCAGGAAAAGGGTTTCTTCCTCCGACTTGCCAACATGATTTACCACCAGCTTGTTTTTAAAGAGCACAAAGTCATCAGGAAAACATTCATGGATTCTGACTGGAAATAATTTGATTTCATTTTCAAAAACACCCCCCATTATGAGGTGTATAATATCAGACTATTTAATGATGATCTGGCCCATTCTTCAACAAGGATTTATAATCGCAGTATTCGCTGGCTACCTATACATGTCAGCCTCCGTCCTGGGCACTCCCTTCATGAGATTTTATTGAATCCCCACAATTACCCTAAAAAGCAAATGCTATCACTCCCATTTTTCAGATGAAGACACCGAGGCTCAAAGACATCGAGTAACTGGCTCAAGGTCTCATGGCACGAATGGCAGAGCTTGTATTTGAACACAAATTTGAATCTCCAAATCTCTGTTTTTTCCACGCGGTCTTGATACCTCTCCAGTCTAGAGAAATCATGAGTGCAGATAGAAAGTATTCTAGAAAAGAGCACTGCCACTGGACATTAAACAGCTTAAACCAACACACAGGGTTCATGAGGACATAATATTTCGACCAGCCAGCGACCCACAGACTTTCATTAGGACTAATTTCCTGCACTGCTGAAGTGACATAAATGGGCAGCTTACCGAAGACAAAGCTACCCTCCCAAGCCTTCACAGACTACCTGTCCCTCTACCCCCACCCATCTTCCAAATCCCAAACCCAGGATTAGTGGCATGATTTTTCCATTATTCATTATTTCTGCTAGGAACAAGACAATGCTTAGTAAAAACACCCCCTTCTGCAACCCCAAGTCTCCAAAGTCACACTTACCATGATACCTGAGAAACAGATTCCTTCAAAATACCACACGTAGTTGGTGAGTTTATTGCTGGATGCATAGGAAGTTTGCCCATTTGGGAAATACAATAATATATTCACAATTATGCTCCAAAGTGCAAGCAGAATCAGCAGACCACTTAAGCAGCCTCCACATTTCCGAGACCCCATTTTACCCTGCTCAGAACCTGCAGGAGATTTCAAGAGTGTAGAATTACATAAAGCCTAATTTTCTTCCTACCTGTCCCCTTTTTTTTTTCTTTTTGAGATTACCTACCACTTTCTGGGTCAGAGCCCTTCACTTCATATTCATGAGAAGCCCAGGGCTCGGACAGAACTGCAGCCCGCAATCTCTGGTGAGAAATAGTGGTTTACTGTTTGGAGAACAATAGACAATGATCCAGGACTGAAGAGCGGAGCTGGTCTTCATCCTGTGCCAAAGGAATGCGGTGTTTTTACTGCATTTTAAAATAAGTCATTTTCCTCTGGATTACAGAAAGAAAGCCTTAACCCTGAGCATATTTTTAAGAAGGAAGTTGGGGTGGGGCGTGGGGTTGGAATCAAATCTGGCAAATTTCATCCAATGGTGAACAGGGAGGTTAAAGGGAAAACTACCAAGGAAGTTTATGCTAGAGCAGTATATCCTGACTTTATGTATTTACCCTTCATTCAGTATACTCTATTTTGTGCTCACTATTCACCAAGCTTTGTTCCAACTGCAGGGGACACAAAAAGACAAAGACAGGGACACGCTGATGGGGGAGAAAAACAAGACATCCCTGTGGGTGAGTTTACTGTTGCAACATGGGTACAGTTTTCCTTCCAGGAGTTCATCTCTGTGATTTCTACCTCTCTGGAAAATAATAACAGGTATAAATTCGTATCTCTCTTGCTGCTTAGGAAAATGGGTAAAAGAATCTGGGTAATTTGATTAAGACTTTATGTGTAAGAAGTTTGAAACAAGGATTTAAGAATTATTGCTTCTAAATGACTGCCCTGAATAGAAAGAGCCACAGGTCCTTCTAATTAGGATGACATGAGCAAAGGATTAAGGGATGGCATCCTCACACTGCTATGTTTTTTTGTTTTAAAGATTCTGTTTATTTATTTATTTGAGAGAGCCAGCATGAGCAGGGGGAGAGGGGCAGAGGGAGAAGCAGACTCCCTGCTGAGCAGGGAGCCTGACTCAGGGCTAAATCCCAGGACACTGAGATCATGACCAGAGCCAAAGGCAGGTGCTTAACCAACTGAGCCACTCAGGCACCCTCACCCTTTTTTTAATGATTTTATTTATTTATTTATTTGAGAGAGAGAGGAATTGTTGACACTACTATGTTAAAGATGATGCGGACAATGGTGGTAAGGAATTCAAGGTTTGCCTGACCTCATTGCCACCTCTTTCTACTGGTAATAGCAGAACCCTGTTCAACTTAACCTTCTTTTTAAAAATTATTTAATTATTTATTTCTTTATTTGACAAGGACAGAGAGAGAGAAAGAGCACAAGCAGGGGGAGCAGCAGAGGGATAAGCAGGGAGCCCAACGTGGGGCTCAATCTCAGGACCCTGGGATCATGACCTGAGCCAAAGGCAGACGCTTAACCAACTGAGCCACTCAGGCGCCCCTCAACTTAACTTTCTTTTTTTTTTTTCAACCTAACTTTCTTAAGTCTCAACTTCCTCATCTGTGAAATGGAAATTAAAAAAAATTATACCTTCCCTAGAAGAATAATGTGAGGGTTAAACAAGATTTTGTGTACAAACCACAGTGTCAAGTGATATAGAAGGAGTAGACAATAAATCAGAGCCATCATTAACAATAAAAACAGTACAGAGAGCAGAAGTAACATCTGCTCTCTTGGTACCCAAAGAGCTCTGTTTCATGAGCTCTTAAATATTGATCCCAGAAGTATTTACATTAATTTGTTAGTGTCCTCCAGAAATATTCTATAATATATATACTTTTAAGTCAAGAGAATAAAAACTTATTTTATATAAATAATGCTATATTATATTCATACTTTTTTTTTCCAAAAAATTGAGATCCTGGGCGCCTGGGTGGCTCAGTCGTTAAGGGTCTGCCTTCGGCTCGGGTCATGATCCCGGGGTCCTGGGATGGAGCCCTGCATCGGGCTCCCTGCTCGGCGGGGAGCCTGCTTCTCCCTTCCCCACTCCCCCTGCTTATGTTCCCTCTCTCGCTGTGTCTCCCTCTGTCAAATAAATAAATAAAATCTTTAAAAAAAAAAATTGAGATCCTTGGATCCACTTTTGGATTCAAACAAAAAAAACCTAGAAACTAAATCTTATTCTAGGATGGGTTCCAAAGAGATTTCTTGGCACCCCTGGTGAGTGTGATTTTTTTTTTCCCCTAGTGTTTTTGAGCAAAGTGCACCACAAAGTCTGGTCATTGGATTTTTTTTCCAGGGACATAGAAGCAAACTAAAATCATATTTACTAGAACCCTTAGGATGATAGGGAGACTAAAATCATATTTACTAGAACCCTTAGGATGATAGGGAGA